GCTGGAGGCCGGGGTCTGTTCCAGGCTCCGCAGGAGAGCCCTCTGCTGGGGCAAGTGCTGCTGGTGAGGGTGGGTGTGGAGCTGGTGGACTCGAGCCACCTCCGCATCCGTCTCGTCACCCTCTTCCTCATCCTCTTCTTCCTCCAGGCCGTCCGTGTCCAGACCCAGGGGGCTGGATATGTAGCCGTACGTGTGCGGAGGGGAGAAGGGGTTTGGTGGAGGGGGTGGGCTCACCAAGAGTCGCCTAATGGAGGACGACAGACGTCAAATGTAACAAACTGGAAATGGTTTAAAAAGAAAAGCATTGTCTAGCTGTTGCAGCTGGCTTACCTGCGCTCGTGTAGGTCAGGGTTATCATGTAGCATGGGCTGCATCTCCTCCTGAGGGGACGGGGTGAGGGTCGCGGTGGACTGGTGACTGTAGGACACAGCAGCAGGTGAGGAAGCAGCTCCCCGTATGGGCGGCGTAGGTCCACGCTCCAGCTCCACCACTTCCTCCTCCTCTTCTAGCTCGTCAGGTTGCAGATACATACGCGACGGCGGCAAAGGGCACTGCAGGTCTGTGTCATAACTGAAGAGAGAACCAAAGAACATATGATCCCTCTGAAAAACTTAAACCACTTCAATCAATTTTTGAACACATCTTGCAATCTTGAGTTTCTCACTAACATATTTTGTGCAATCATCTTAGGATTTAATATTTACTAAAGACTTTTGGTAAGGTGCTGTACAAACTGTGACAAATGTCTTTAATATAATAGTAATTATATTTGTTATTTTAAAATATTATTGTTTAATTAATTGTAATTTATTTTTGCTGTTGTAATATTTTGTTGATTTATTAATCATTAAATTAATATATTTTATTTTATTAAAGTTATGGGTGTATACATAAAAATAATAGTATTGATAATTAAATTTTTATATTATTTTGTATTATTTTAATTTGTATTATATTAATATTTTGTTGAAGTATTATTCAATTTAATAAAATTACTTTTATTTTAACCAATATTAATAGTTATTTTAAAATAATAATTTAATTAAATATTTGTTTAATATATTTTATAATTTTATTTTAAAGTGTGTGTGTGTGTGTGTGTGTGTGTGTGTAATAATTTAATTAAATATTTGTTTAATATATTTTATAATTTTATTTTAAAGTGTGTGTGTGTGTGTGTGTGTGTGTGTCTCTGTGTATATATATATATATATATATATATTATTTGAAAGTAATATACATTTATAATTTAATATGCTATATGTAAATAATATTATTACAATGGTTAAAACATAGGATATACATAAACTATGAATGTAATTCCTAATAGATGTGCAATTATAAGCATACACAGCTTAAGTGAAAACCTGTGTGTGTTGATCTTACCTGTCGTCCATCGCGAGGGTGTATTCCTGACATGGTGGTGGATTAACCGGAGGAGGCAACAGTTCGGTCCAATTCATTGTGTTCTGTTTGGCCTGTTTAGTTGTTCGCCCACCTTTTTTCTGTCCTTGACTTCCTGTAAAGTAAAAAATAAAAATAAAAATACACATTCAGTGTGATACAAACAGAGCTATATCAACTCCTAGCCCACAATGCCATCTGAACTCATAAATTAATTTGATTGCAAACTAAAATGTTTTAATAAGCTCTTGTGCATTTCTTTTTCTGTTGGTTTGTTTGCTGAGCTTGATGCATGTGTGAAACAAATGGCACTTTTACACTCAGGAGAAGCAACATTAATGACACCCACACCATAATTTATACAGTGTAAAACACTTATGTGCATTATCTCTCTATTTATAATTAACGTTGCACTCTCCATCAAAAAATGACAAATTTTTCAAAACTAACACTCTTCATTGCCCAGAGGAGAGGTAGAGACAGAGAAAAAAAAAGAGAAGCATTGGAGGCCAATTAACAAAAAGGAATTAAAATTCAGAGCCAATGAGCTGTGAGGACCTCCACGCACTCAGACCCTCTCTTTAATTACCTGAACTTCAAATACAATATAAAAATAGATACGATGCATTACGCCGGCAGCATTGCATACGCCGCAGAATGGGCCTCATTTATCTTTGTCCTGCAACAAACACCGGCTTTCTGACAACATTATCCCCCCTTTCTTTGAGTCGGATGGATGAACGCCGGAGTAATTAATGACGGTGTGGTGAATCGCAAAAAGGGAGGGGGATATCCTCCCAATCAGAAACATCCCGGGAAAATGCATCAGACCTTAGAAATCTGCAGGGAACATGGGTTTTAACTAAAGGAATTAGGACTGAGAGAGAGAGATTGTTGCTGCCATTTAAGAAATGCGCTCTTGCACCTCAGAAATCGTGAGGAAGAATAGCCTCCTTTTGTGCGGACGTAAATGTTTCTCTTTGTTCCCCGAGGTTCTCAACAATGAGTGAGCGATTTGTAAATGTCCTGTTTTGCATATGATTTACTGCCTCTTAGAGTGATGAAAAGGCTCAGGAATAATGGAAATGAAAATGGAATACTGTGGTAAATTGCATGCTAACCGTCTACTAGGTTATGTCTTTAGGTTTGGATGGATTGATGGATGAATAGACATTAGAATGATATGATGGATGGATGGATGGATGGATGGATGGATAGATAGACAGATAGACATTAGAATGATATGATGGATGGATGGATGGATAGATAGACATTAGAATGATATGATGGATGGATGGATGAATATCTTACCAGAGGTGCTGCTCCCTCTGTCAGAGCTGCTGTAGGTTCCTCCTGTAAGGGCGTCCTGGGCCTGGTTATAGGGGATGGTGCCTGAGATGGGCCCCTCACCTCGATAGCGGTCTAAGGGGTTGCAGTCAAGAGATTTTGAGTTTTAGTTTTTATTATACATATGGGTGCGGCATTATGACCTAGTCCTTCACATACCAGAGCAATTGAAAAAAGTTATTTTGTGAACTAGACGAATGAAAGCTCTTATAAAAAGCAGACACTTTAGACGAGAACGCTTCAGAGTGGAACATCAGATAGTCGAGTGGTAAAAGGTTACAAAAGGGTTTCAGTCATAAGCTGTTATGACTTGTTGGTGACTGGCTTCAGTTGTCTACAAAGTGTGAAATATCACACCCACACGCAGTTAGATTCATGCAAGTCGAGTCAAAAAGCAAACACAATGACCTTTTTAGTGGCACAATATGAAGCAGCAGATAATGGATAGCTTTGAGCTTGAGTTACATTCTCCCTTATTTGTCCAGTAATCTAAGATCTCTGGCTTCACACTGTTCTGAGACATCCGACGCTTTACAGCCTCCTCTTTACCTTCATCCCCATCCAAACAGTAAAACAACAACTATAAATATGGATTACATTTACTAGCAGAGTGTAGAGTTGAATTACACATATACGCAATATGAGCAACCGTGATGGATAAAGACAAGGTGTTAGAAAGTGAAAGAGCCACATGTAAAGGTGCCAGGGAGGCTATTAAGATTCAAAATCATGTAACGCTTTTATTATGGTCTGAATAAGAGGAGACAATAGAGCAACAAGACAAGAAGAGCAGCAATTTGATGATGCACCTTTGTGGTAAACCGAGAAAAACTTGGCATGGGTTTCTTTGAAGAGCTTGATCTAGTGTTTAAAATCAAATTCGCATAAATCTGCTTTAACTTTTTGGGGACCGCGAATAAATCTACAAAACTCACCCTTATTCAGTTTGTTCTGTTCCATGACGTTATACTGCAGTGGCGTGTTGATGTCGGCCTGTTTTTGAGGTGTTCCTTGACTGCTCTTCCAGCTCTGCTTCTCGTTGAGGTCGGCACTTCCTCCTCCACTTCCGCCGCTGCTGCTGTTCACGTTGTTGTTGGCCAGGCTGGACTGGATGAGCTGGGTGGTGGCGTAGGGCGTAGGCTGACCGCCAGGCCCCAAGAAACGGCCATCCTTTAGGTTGGGGCTGTTGAAGGTCTTCATCTCGTTGATCTTGTTGGAAAGGTCCACGTCGCTGTAAAGGCCCGTGTCGGGAGCCAGCAGCTTGCTGGCCTTGTTGTCCATCTGGTTGCTGTAGTTGGCGATGCAGTCGGCTGGACGATAGAAGAGGAGTAAGACATTTTGATAGCCAAAAGATCCGTGTTTAGGATCTACGGATAAACCTGGAGTCTGATATAATGTAGGTTTTGATGTACCGATCAGACTGAAGTGCTTTTAAAATAAGGGAACATTTACAGAAACTCATGGGGAGAAGACACTAGGTTGGTTTAAGTATATGCTAATTAGCTTTATACCAACGAAAATGATGTTTTTAGACAGAAAGGTAGATAATGTGTAAATTAAAATTCATGTACTAAGATAACACTTGTTTCATTCAAATCCCTGCCACTCTACTACGATCCTCCTCCTCCTCCTCTACAGCTCTCCCTCGTCCACGACACAAGCCAAGCGTGTCACTTTGAGTTTCCTGAGCAGCCGCGAGAAAGGCATCCCAGCTCATCAAGCAGGATGTTCCAACATGTCCGAATCAAAAGCCTCCAAAACGAGGAACGCTGTAAAAGACATCCTCTGACAGATCCAATTTTCCCCGGCTCATAAAATATTCAAATCCTCCCCGGGATCTGAGCGAGAAGCTTGGCGTGTAAATACCGCGGCCTGCCATTGGACGAATTTCGAGCATGGCTCGTGTTTCCATAAGAAGGAACGGCTCTGCACTTCAAAGGTTGACGTATCAATGATAAAAGATCCTATGGAATGAGACAAACTAAGTCGTCTTTCCAGAGAAGCCCTGTGGGTACTGATCCGGTTAATATCCTGGAGATTTTTTAGTATTTGGCACACCAGGCAAACGGGTGTCAAGCTTTTAAAACGTCATGCTGTGAGAATCACTCAACATTTATCCTTCATTCCTGCTTTGATGAAGGCGACAGGGATAAAATCTAGTGTTAGTGAAAACACTCCCAATAAATGGATATCAAAGGCAAAGGCAAAGGCAAAGGCAAAGCCAAGCTTTTTGGGTTAAAAAGCCCCATCTACGGTTTCTATGGATGGTCTGAACAAACACAAAGCCTAATCCTCAAAAGGCCTACCCATGAATATGGTAGCTAATTTCTTAAATTCAATAGAAATACATTTTCTAAAAGGATTGGATGCATTTAAGGGTTCCGTTATGAATGAAATACTCTTAGCCAAAGGCTTAGTTGCAGCAGCTGATATCTGAGAACAAAAAAGCTCTTGTAGTGACATTAAATATCATTAAATGAACCAACAGTGACACCGCTGTCCAAACTAAGAGTTGCTTTGTGAAATCTGGGTGACTGTGTATATTAACACCACTTTGTCACTTTCAGTGTGCGTGTCTCTTTGGACTCGCGAGTCAACCTGGTGTTCTTTTGTTTGTGAAGTAGCTTGCTGACTCCTGAAATAAAGCCACCTGGAGGTGCTCCATCACTCCTTCTCTTTCCTCGCCCCCTCTCTTTTTCTCTGTCTCAGGTCTATTTTGACCTCCGTAACGGCTCCTGGTTTCCTGAATAAGCGAGCACTTAGAGAAACTGCATTAAAAGGTTCTAAAAGCGGTATGGAAATCAGACGCTGATTGGATTAGCTGGACTACAGCCTGCGGGGCCTTTTCAATATCGGCCACTTTTATTTTCCCTAAAACATCCACGTTCCAACAAATCATGAACAGAGTTGTGTGTCAAAGGAAGGACACGATACTTGCGCTGCGTTCCATTCAACTTAGAAAGCAGTACTAGAACGCTACTACTTCCAAGTTGGAAACTTCAGTGGAAATGAACAAGCCCAAACTAAATAAGATTTACGAAAATGTCGTTGCACAAACAATGTGGTATAAGGGGGAAATCTACACAGTTTACGCTTTAAATCAAATTAAACAAGTCACTGAGTCAAAGTTACCATAATAAAACCTCTTTACGTCATTTAAATAACAAACTCTTCCAGAAGTAGTTTTTCCTCATTTGTCACTTTGAATAAAAGCACTTGCTAAATGAGTAAATGCAAAAAATTTGAAATAATCTCTACTTATAATTGTAATTTTGTTCCTTTACACATCATCTTCCATGCATTTTAAACTGAAATGCTAAAGTCTGAGATCAGCTAACAAGGGATTTCTCACTTGTGACTTTGAATAGATCGTAGCATTATGCCTTTGTACGCTACTACAACTTGACTACTACACACACTCGCTCACACACTCACCTGGGCGGCTGTAGGTGGCCAGGTTGCTGTCGCTGTTTCCATTGCTGCCGGTGCAGCAGTTGATGGTGCAGTCATTGTGATTGGAGCAGCTGTTCGGCCATGTGTCCGCGAGCCAGGGCTGGGTAGCTGGTTCACCTATATTCAACAAACCTGGCCTGGAAAACACACACAATGTGATTTATTACTAACTTGGAAATGGTAAATGCACACGTGTGATCATGATCAGTTGTGTTCAGTACTGTTTCTGTTTTATCTTAGAACTGTTATTGCCATAAATAAGGACAGCTAATCATTTGGGCCCGACACAGCACCATTGGAACAACCATTGGTGTGAGTTTTGGGGCGGGGTTAACAGTTTGTCTGACCAATGGCAGGCAGCGGGAAGATTATTCCATTTGGTGGTGCAGAAATGACACACTTCAGCTTTAAACAGGATGCCCATCCCATCTCCTTCTATCCCAGTGCATCTCTCAGGGCATTAGGCTGTATCTGTGCTAAATGGATTGCGTCTGCTTGACTTGCTCATGGCTGATGACACCGTTTCCCCGAGGCCTCGTGACCGTTAGATCTCCGTGTGGCTTACCCAAGCGCTGGAGAACATTGCTGCTCCAGCCTGGGAAAGAAAAACACGAATGAACCGAGCCATCGCTAAAGGAAGAGCTCGGAGCTCTCAGCGCATTCCAGGGTGTCACAGTCAATCAACGTGATCTCAAGTGCTGGAGAAGCTCTGGATAAACGCATATATGAATTCATTCAGTGCCCTTAGTAACCGTTTCTATCAAATCTTGCAGTTAAAGTTATTTATTTTAAAACACTGATTTATGTTAGGTAGTTAGTTTTCATGATAAAACAAGGTCACATTAAAATGCTTCTGAAGAAATAAAAGAGTTGAGGGAATATTTTTTTCAGGGACGCTTATCAAAGACACAAAAAAACATCAAAGAAAGAGTTTTGTGCAATGAATCTTCAACACGATGCTTCAAAGTAAATGTGGCTTCCTCTTCTCTTAGTTCGTTCCGTATCCCTGCAGCATGGTATGTCGCTCTCTTTTATTTTTCGAACAGACTCTTTAGCTTCAAAAGGCTTAAACCTTTCCTTTAGGCAAGGGCAAAGACCTGCTCGATTAAAAGCTGGACTCCAAAAGACAACATAAAGGGAAAGACACACTAAGTATCATCTGCAACTATTCAAATGAGGACAAAGCTGACACGTGCACATGTGCACCTACATGCACACATGATCCAGTGTAAACAGTTGAATGAATTGGTTGGAAATTATTGCATTAGCAGGGTAGAAGCGGAGGGCTTTTGTCTCATCTGTGTTCTGCAGGGCTCCGTCTCAATGCACAACCTCCAAAAGTGTCTTTGCAAAGACAAAAATGCCCCCTAGTGTCAATAAAATGCAATTACACTACAGTACACACCCTGCGCATGGCCATTGTTGGCTTGTGATAAATATTAACTTCACTGATTTAAGGTATCAGATCACAAAATGTGTATTTTTTTAAACATCTCACCTTCCAGCACTGCTGACAGCTTCTCCTCCTCTCTGATAGGCCACTGTTGATAAAATAAATTACAATTAATGAAGAAAAATAACATGGAAAACACGTAATGAAACAAATATCTTCCTCTTAAGGGCAAAGAACATTTCTCTAAAAATTCCTTCTATAGAAGAAGAAAACTCATACAGTTTTGGAAAACATGTAGGTGAATAAATGATGGCAGATTTTTTATTTCTTTAACAGGCTAATCTAAGCATGTTTTGTTGGCCTTGTATTTTCTTTCATATCTTATAAGCTCCTCAATTTCATTCAAAACCAGTGAACGTGTGGAAATAAAGCTTGTTGGTTGCATTTGCTACTAAAAACAAGCCTTCACTCTCTCAATCCTTCCCGCCCCTCGAATCCTCCCAAAACCAGGTGAGTCAACAGCGGTTACAGAAAGATTGCATGAGATGAGAAATAATGAAAGGGTCTAAGTGTCTTTCTCTGGTATGTAAAAGTCATCCAAGTTCAATCCTCACGCTAGCCGGCTGCTCTCTTCTTCTAATTGGCCACGAGACTTCTGATGTCACAGCTTCCCATCCCGTCTGAAGCGTTAGGGTGGGCGCCGGTGCTTTGATCAGCCACTCTGCCAGTTCTAACAGCCCTCTTTAGTCAAGCACTCTTCTCTTTAAGCATTTCCTCCATCTCTGTCTTTTATTTTTTACTTCTTTTTATGCTGACAAGTCCATGCGACTGAAGTTCTCTTTGATTATCCATGTAAACTCAGACTGGGGTTCCTTTCTTGTGGGGAGACGTATTTTTAAAGAGAGGCCATGCCTCCCACACTTCATCTGTGTCATATTTGTTTGGAGTTCTGCTGTGCAGAACGAACGTGACTGAAGGGAGTGTTGAGGGACACTTCATTACAACGGCTGAGAAACATTATACTGCCGTGCACTTTCAACTCCACTGGGCAGGAAGTCGTCACACTCTAGGGATTGTGGGAATTCTGGGCATATGTGCTGTGAGGAAGGTGTGATTACCTGTGGGGGTGAAGGTGAAGGAGGGCACTGCAGACACACAGAACAAAGAGAAAGAAAAAGAGCACATTAATTATTCATCAGATTCGTAATTATTATTCAAAAAATGTATTATTCATCATAGCAGTAATGTGCATTCAACTTAAATATTTATGCAGTTATTGGAAAAAGTTTTCAAAAAGGCACTTGTGATTAAATTTTACAGTCTCTGATGTAACGAGTCTGTTACCAATTACTCAGAACATTGAAACCTCATCACAAATACACAGTTCATTTCATTCTCCTTGTCATCTGAACTCTGGTTTAACAGTTGTGGGTTTGTGTGTCTGATTAATTGTATATATATCAGAGACAAGAGAAAAATATTGATATCTAGAGTTTCTGAAGATAATGTCACCGCAGTGCTAGGATTTTGTAGATGGTTGCTATTTTAGCATGTTGTTATGCAGTTGCTAGGGTTTACTCGCCCAAGTAAAAAAAAAAAAAAAAAGAGCTCACTTTACTATATTCTGGTCCCTCTATGGCTTAATTGTAAATAGAAAGAATTTCCCCTCTATTTTATCCATTTTTACCATACACTAGGTGAAAAATCTACTGACATTTGCCACAAAATCTCCACTTAATTAGTCATTTAAATATTATAATAAATCATAATATTTAATATTATATCATATTATTATAAAAATATTATAATTTTATTAATGATAAATTTATATTAGTATAATCAATTATAAAACAGATAATAATAATGTATTTTAAATTTATATAATTAAAAATAAACATTTATATTAATATAATTAAAAAATTTGTATTAATTAAATATGTATTTAATAATGTACTAATTAATTAATTAAATTAAATAAACATATTTAAATTGATATAATTAAATATAATAATAATAATAAACCTAAACATGTGACATGTGAATTGCACGAATTCATGCCAGGCTCTAACAGTGTACTTTATTAACTTTGACTTAAATCTATTATAACATATGCCCTCGGTCTGATGTGAAATCTAGTTTCTTTCATGTTGATCAAAGGCTCCAATAAGCAGATGAACACGGCTGAATCAATCTGAGTGATATGGGGTCAGAATTCATAATAAACAGCCCATCAGAAACATCAAAGTATCTGTGCAGGAAGCTGCTGCTCGTGATGGCGTCAGGATTGGTTTTTTGGCAGCGTTACACCCATACATCAGAATTCAACACCTGCTGTCTTCACCTTCTCATCTTCGCGTATTTACGGGAAAACAACCTTTAAAATTGTCAGCCGTTGCCATCCTTTTCAAATGTCACATTTATCGGCTGCGCTCGTCTGCTTCTTGGCAGTGCTTTGAGTAAAGATGAGTCTAATAGATTGGGCCGTTTTTTGTTGATTTTATCATGTATGCATGAAGGTTTTGAAGCAGAAGTAGAATGATGCTTGGCAGGCCAAATGCAGCATGGGAAAAAGATCATTTGATGGACAATAAATAAATCAAATCTCAGGAGTCTGGGTATGATCAGTGTTTTTAATCAATTTAACACACATTCACAGCTAAATGCACATGCACATCACACACACTGCAAGATTATCCATCTCTCCCCATCACCCTGTTTCACCCGGAGAACAGATTACCACTTCATGTGTTACTATTATCCACCTCTGCTCAAACAAGTTCACGCTTAAGAGACTCGCAGCTACTGGTTCAAATATGGCAACCTGTGGTTTCTCGTGGCTTTCAGAGTAATACAGGAAGCAGGAATGTCTTTAGTAGCTCAACAGAACCTAAAATCAATGCAAAGGCCCTTCATTGTGCCAAATGTCCTTTTTGCAATCTCGCTTGCGGGCATAAAAAGGCACTACTTTTCAACATACCTTCTAAGCTATATTGTTATACCATCATGCATAAATTAGGGCTCAATAAAGACTTTTCCTG